GGAGAAGGCGGCGCTGAGCGCAGATCCGTGCAGAGCTGCACCCCGCGCAGGGGAATCCAGGACAGTCCCACCTGCGAGCTGAGGAACGGGGAGACCTGGAGGGAGGGGCGGGCGATGTGGGGTAGCGAGTGGGAGGGGCAGCTGACGTCAATTCCAGCCTCACTAGGTGACCCTGAAAGGTGAGCCACAGCTGAACCCCCGTGAGTCGGACTGCAGAGCTCACGTGTGTGTGATCTGGGGGGACCCCCAGACCCCTAGCCAGTGAGCAGGGTGACCTTGAAAAATAGGACTCTGCCTCTTTGGGCCTCGGTTGCTGCTTCTGAAGGAAACGGCTCCGGGGTCCCCGTGGGGAGTCCAGGAGAGCTCGCTGACTCCGGGGCATGCGGGTTCCAGCAACGGGGCGACGTAGCTCCTGTCCTGACGCCCAGGTTTCAGGTGGGGGGACACAGCGAGGCTCAGAGAAGGTAAACTTGAACTCAGGCACCACGCTTGGGATCCAGTTTGTTTTTTAAAAAAATACTAGAGTCCCGATGCACGAAATTCATGTAAAAGTAGGCCTTCCTTTCCCCAGTTGCCAGCACCGGCTTCCCTACGGCCTCAGGCAAACACCCAGGATCCGGGCTTCCCTCACAGCCCCGGCTTCATCCGGAAGGTTGTCCGGAAGGACGTCCAGCCTAATTAGCATATTATGGTTTTATTATTATAGATTTTTATTGATTGCAGAGACGAAGGGAGAGGAAGAGAGAGATCGAAACATCAGTGATGAGAGAGAATTATGGATCAGCTGCCTCCTGCACACTACTGGGGATCAAGCCCACAACCCAGCCATGTCCCAGGACCGGGAATCAAACCTAGGACCCTGCAGATTACAGGCCAACACTCTCTTCACTGAGCCAAACTGGCCAGGGGAAGATTTTTTTTAACAGAACAAAATTCTCTCTAGCAACATATGTGATATGGCATAATAATTACTATAAAACTCAGGCAGTATACGTCGTAGCAGTTGCAGAGTGAGAAAGCAATAAAC